CTTCTCATTAGGTGGCCAAAGTCTTTGAGTTTCCTCTTCAGGATCTGGCCTTCTAAAGAGCAGCCAGGATTGATCTCCTCTAGGACTGACCGGTTTCAGATCAAGGTTTGTTGAGCAGCAACTCATCCTGTTTTGTTTGGGGGGGTCATTCTGATTTCAGTGTATTTTGGTCCTGCCCTTCCAGTTCCGCCCGCCATGCCAGAAGAAAGAATCTATTCCTCTGGACGAGAAGCCTACTTCAACCTGAACTCAACATGGTACGACCCAGCGGGATCCTGGCTCGATACTCGCCGTAAACCCTTCCGCTACGTCGACAACACCGCCTGCGTGACGTGTTGCAACCCCAGGAGCAACGTCCCCCGGAGAGGGGGCCATAATTACCGCTGCTACTGCTACCGCTCATGCACTTGTACACCAGGAGGCAACCCAAGAGTTACATGTTGCGTTCACAACCCTTCGGGAGGGCCCCGGGATTATTGGGGGCGTCCTATCGGCGATGCCTGCGATGGGTGCACCGGGGGACGCTATTCTCACACGGGGTCAGATTGTGGGTCGTGCTGTGGGTCCGTGGGAGGATGTGGCACTGGAGGAGGGGCGGTGGCTTGTGCTCAACCATCTGGAGGAGTGTGTGCTGAACCAGGTTGTAGACCTACCGGTAGAGGCGTATGCGCAGAACCTTGCGTAACGTCTTCTGAAAGATGTGGTAGTAGAAGAGGAGTGTGTGCTGAACCAGGTTGTAGACCTACCGGGAGAGGCGTATGCGCAGAACCTTGTGTAACGTCCTCTGGAGGATGTGGTAGTAGAAGAGGAGTGTGTGCTGAACCAGCATGTTTACCCTCAGGATATGGGAGGAGGACGAGGAGAGGGGTGTGTTTTGAGCCGTGCGCAGGATCGTCGAGTGGATGTTGAACGCCAGAATCAGAGAAGGGCCCACAGTCCCACTCGCTGTTGAGGGCAGGAGCTGTAACAACCTATTTGATGGACCCCCATTCCCAATTCCTTGTTTGAAGACACCCCCCCCTTCAATGAGGAGCATCTCACCACTTCACGTAGCAACCAGTTGTACTGGTTGACAACTCATAAGTCACACACTTCTTTTAAGGTCTAGCCTGAACGTTCCTCCTTGTAGTTTTGTCTCACTCGTTCTGGTTTTTCTCTCTGGGGCAACAGAGGAGTAAGCCTACACCCTCTTCTCTCTCCCAACCTTTCCAAAATGGAGCTTACTCCAACCCCGAGTCTGTTCCTAGAACTCAACAACCTTCCTGCGAGACTCTTCACCTGCCCATCCACCCAAAGGATATTAAAGCTACAACTAAAATGGGATGTTCCTTGTTTCTTTTCTTCTTTTTTGTAAAAGGAAAACTTTTTTTTCTTTTGTAATATGTATCTTTCCAAACGAGGAAAAATTGAGAACTTACCAAACTCCAGAGTTCTGTTCCCATTTCTTATGGTCTGGAGAGTTTGTGTTAGCTTTTATGTTCTTTTCAAAACTGTTAATAAAATGTACACATTAAAAAACCCCAAATTTCCTCTCCCGGGAAATTTTTATTTATTTAAAATTATAAGATGTTTATTCATGGGATAGGTCTGCCCTCTCCTGGCTGCAAAACTTATAACATGGCTCCAAATATTGTCTATTATTCAAAATATATATTCTAGTAGCTGATACTTCCTGTCTGCGATGTTTCCCAGAACAGCCACTAAAAATAAAACTATATCAATAAAACTCTCCAGCTTGATTTTTTTTAAAAATATATGCCTTGGTTTAAATGCAATGAAACCCACACTATTTCTGTGCGGGGTAGAATTATACTCCCTGCTCAGGGATAGTATATATTTAACTTCCCTATTGATTCGCTAATGTGAGTGCGCGCACCACCTCGTGTATGTGCAGATAGAGAGAGAGAGAAAGAGAGAGAGAGAGGCAGAGAGAGAGAGGCAGAGAGGGAGAGAAAGAGAGAGAGATACAGAGAGAGACAAGAGGGAGAGAGAGAGAAAGAGAAAAACAGAGAGAGAGAGAGAGACATGCGCTTTTGGCAAAAAAAATAGGGCCTAAATGGGATGCCGTAGAGCAGGTGGGAGGAGGAGCCACCCATGATTTCCGCTACCGGTCCAGCTGATCTGGTCTGAACTGGTAGAATGCCACCTGTGCCGCTGCTATGTTCCTTGAATGCTACCCAGTGGTGGGATTCAATTTTTTTTTTACTACTGGGTCTGTGGGCGTGTCTTGGTGGGTGTGGCGTGTCTTGGTGGGCGTGGCAGGGGAAGGATACTGTCAAATCCCCATTTCCTCTCGATCAGCTGGAACTCAGGAGGCAGAGAATAGAAAGGGGGGTGGCCAGCCAGAGGTGGTATTTGCCGGTTCACTGAACTACTCAAAGTTTCTGCTAGCGGTTATCCACAACTGGTCCGAACCTGCTGAATACCACCTCTGATGCTACCAGGTTTCCCTGAAAATAACACCGAGGCTTATTATTTTTGCTCCAAAAGATGCATTAGGGTTTATTTTCTGGTTGGGTCTTATTTTGGGGGAAATATGGTACTAAATGCATCCATCTGGCTGACAATCTTAACTTGGAGGTAGGGCTTATATTAAAATATCCCGGGGGGAAATCATGCAAAATAAGACCCATGTTGGGTCTTGTTTTCAGGGAAACAAGGTAGTTCCTTGAGGACTAGGAACTTTGTCACAATCTCTGGAGGGGTAAGAAAGATCTCCCTTTCTCCCTCCAAATGTTCTCGCGAGGTTTTGAGAGACCTTTCTCGGATCTCTTTTTGAGAGGGGTGAGAAATTTCTCACCCCAAACAATGCAATTATGCCTGATCCTTCTCATTGAATGATTCATGCTACAGTGTTCTCCCACAGCAGCTCCAAATGTTTACGGTTAGCAACAAGGCACCCTCCTAAAATGTGATCCATCTCAAAGTATGCACAGTGGGATCGAAAGCTCTGATGTGTACAAACACTTTGCATAACTATTTAGGGTTTAAATTCCTACCTCTCTGTAATTGCAGGCTACTGTGCAGTTTTCCATACGTCGTGCAAATATACTATTACTAAATTTCCCGCGGCTCAAGATCATATATTCAGCTTTGCTAAAGACTGTAGCAGTAAACCTACTCAATTAGTAACTTAGGGGAGGTTTTTCAGTTCTCAGTTCATCTTACAGCTCTCTGGTCCTTTGCAACTTCTCAGTCCGATCTTGTTTGGAAGTTGGGGGAGGCTAAAATAGGGAATCAGAGAAATTAAAAGAGGGTAAAGTTTGGATGGAGGGGGAGACATTGGGGTGAGAACATCACTTTTTTTTCTGAATTCAAGTCCTAGGATGTTCTCGAAGTAGCCTTTTATTTACAAGCACCATCGGCTCACCCCTTAATTTCCCATCACCTTATCTTCTTTAGATATGCTTCTAGATTTTTTTTCAATGCAATCAAAATATGTTGACATTTTTTCAGTCTGGATTTTGTTTTTTCACATCCTCGATGTATAGAGGAAAAGGTTCCCCTCGTACATACGGGTTCGTCGTTCCCGACTCTAGGGGGCGGTGCTCATCTCCGTTTCAAAGCCGAAGAGCCAGCGCTGTCCGAAGACGTCTCCGTGGTCATGTGGCCGGCATGACTGAACGCCCCAGAAGGCGCACGGAACGCTGTTCCCTTCCCACCAAAGATGGTTCCTATTTTTCCACTTGCATTTTCACCTGCTTTTGAACTGCTAGGTTGGCAGAAGCTGGGACGAGTAACCAGGAGCTCAGTCTGTTACGTGGTGCTCGGGATTCGAACCGCCGACCTGCCAACCTTTCTGATAGACAAGCTCAGCGTCTTAGCCCCTGAGCCACCTCTCGGAAAGGCAGGTAGAAGAGAGCAAAAAAGGATTAAGATTGGAAACGGGTGGGTCACACAGCGAGACGAACCAAGGGCAGGGCAACCAAGGCGGTCGTAGAATGGATCCCACTTGATCAAAAAGGGACCTGAAACGAGATGGATCGACAGCATCGGCAAGTATGGTGGTCCTAGTTGACAAAGGAAAATCGGGATCACCTGGTTTGGAGGCATATGGAAAAGAGCTTCATTCTGCACTGGTTCTACAAGGCCTATCAAGGTGACGATTATAATTCATGCATTTCTTCATGATTACTCTTTGATTATCCACCTGTTTGGAGAAGTGACACATTCACCTGTCATCCCTTTAGTTACCTAGGTTATAATTAACGCTGACATCATCGTTCAGCTGTCCTGGCATGTGAAACGTTGCTGTAAACCAAGATTCCCCAATAAGAATTTCATGAGATTGAAAATCTGCATTCAAACGCCAGCCTTTTCTTTATTCATCAGATGCCGATTTAATTACGGCTCACCTACTTCTCTCTTAAGCAAGCCAAGATCGTCCCGGTCCTATCCCCTTCCTCGTTTAGTGGCCGTTCGGAGTTGCAACCATGCTGGGAAAAGCGAATGAACGTCAATCAACCTCGGTTTATTACAGTTTTAGACCGGGCTGAATGTGGCCTTTTCACGCTTGCGACGGTAACCTTGATTCCTCCCAATGCGACTTCCTAAATTCCTTTCCTCATCTCATTCTGATGCAAGAATGGGAACACGTCACGTTTTCTAACATCCAGTTTGCTCACCAGCCTCCTACACAACCAGATAATGCTCCTTTATCCCCCACAACCGGGCCTCACGCCCATTCGCCACTGGCTCTATGCCCACGGACTGAATCTTGCCGTTGATCATCTTCAAGGAATGTTTTAGGCATTCACCGCAGCTAGCCCCAGATTCCCAAAACCCATGGATGCATATATGTTGGTTTTTTTAGCCATAATAATAGAGGCGAAGAAGTAAAAACCCTACTACCTCTGTTCTTAGCCGAAGGAATACATTCTATGTTCCACAAGAGTCCGAATGGAATTCTCACCTTTTTCTTAATTAAATTACAACTGTTGTGGGCTCCCCAGGAGAGGAGGGGGAGAAAAACCATATAATTTTATACTCCTTTATTAGTATAATAAAGTATACTCCATATACTCCATATAATAAAGTATACTCCATATACTCCTTTATTAGTATATAAATAAACATTCGTGTTGAGTTTAATCCCTGGTTTATATAATACTAGCCGATAACCTGGCATCACCGGGGTATTTATTCATAGGGAGGAAATATCCGGACCAAATGTAATTTCTAATGTTGGGTTGTCCCCCCCTAACCAGAGAAAGCCCCCCGGTGGAGGACGGTGAAGCCGTTACCATGGGAACTCCACTGCACTGTACAGTAGAAGCCATTTTACAGCAGTACGGTGGAAGCCATTCTAAGGCACAACAGGCTGCATCTTAACAGAAGACACACCCTGAGAGGTATTGGGGGGGGGTGTCTTACCTCCCCCGCCTCAAGTATTCGGTTCCAGAGAGTAAGTCATTTGTGTACCAAGTTTGGCTGAAATTGCTCGAGTTATGCTGGAACACACACACACACACACACAGAGAGAGAGAGAGAGAGAGAGAGAGAGAGAGAGAGAGAGAGAGAGAGAGATGTTTTTATATAGAGGGATAGGATTTAAACATTAAAAGTTTGAAACAAGCATTTTCTTTATTTTTTTTAAATCAACAGTTTGGAACATAGTGTTGGAAGGGACCTTGGAGGTCTTCTAGTCCAACCCCCTGCTTAAGCAGAAGATCTTACACTATCCCGGTCTAATGGTTGTCCAATCTATTTTGAAAACCACCATTGATGGAGGGGTGGGGGAAACCTCCCCCCTCCCGATTTTTTTCCCCCCTTCCTAGGTGTGGTTGGGATCTCCGTCCATTAGATCAAGACAACACGGGCTATTAAAAAATGCATGCATTTGCTCTTCAGCATGATTTTAATATCCTGAGTCAAAAGGATGGTTGCAGATCGGGAGCTAATTAGAATGG